CGCCTAACCTTACTGGGTTTATCTCAGGTGGGGATCTTAGGACCGTGTTACCTTTGTGGCTGCATAGTATTCCACAGTTTGGATATGGTGGCTTATTTGAAGTCACTTGTAATGAAACAAAACAAAACTCAGTGTTTGTTAACAATAAGAATTTCATTATGTCTAGGGTTACAAATCAAAATACTTGTATCTGAGAGCAAATCCTGATTGGAATTCAGGGTTTGAGGCCAAGAAGTCATCCTTGAGAGTCTACTGAGAGGAACAGCCCTGCCTGCTTTCCTGTCTGCCTACCTGTCTGCCTGTCTTCCTTCCTGTCTGCCTGCCTGTCTTCTTTCCTGTCTTCCTTGTCTGCCTGTCTGTCTTCTTTTCTTGCATTTCATTTTTTCTTTTTCATTTTAAATTTTTTTTTTTTGAGAAAGGTTGTCTTGTGTCTCAAGCTGGCCTTGCACTCTCTATAGAGCCAATGAGATGTTCTTGAACTTGAACTTTGGATACTTTCCTCTCCACTTCCTGAGTGTGGGATAACAGGCACCTCCACTCCTGATTCATGTGATGGGTGGAGGCAGATCCTAGGGCTTCCTAGAAACACTCTAACAACAGAGCTACATCCCCAGACCATGATCAGGTCATTGTTAAGGAGAGGGGCCAAGCTCAGAGGACAGCAGAGAACACCAGCTCAGGATTCCCTGGCTGGCAGTCCAACCTCCACCTGTGCAGGCCTAACTCCGGCCTGGGCAACAACTCTGATAAACTGAACAGGGCTCCTTGACTGGTGTCCAGCTCTGTAATAGAGGCATCCTTGTTCTCTAAGAGAAAGGAAACTTTCCCTACCATGACAGCAGTATTTTAGCCCTCATTTGTTCCTTTATCCTTGCAAAACCCCATAGCTCCACAGGGCAGACTGTGTTTGGGATATCCCCTCTTAAAGGCACGGATGCATTGAAATCTGCACATCCAGTGGACAAGCAAAAGTGACAGTTTCAATTCCAAACTTGTGCAAATGGAGGTGGCTTGAGGGATGTGGTCACTCACCCCTTCAGAGCCCACAGAGGAAGACAAAGTGGAGGTTCCAGAAATGGACACATGGGGCTCAAAATCCTGGTTCAACTGTTTTTCAGCCATATGAACTATCTCCCAGCATGCTACAGGGTTGAGGCACCCTATTAGCAGCAGTTGGTCTTAGTAAATGATGGATGTTCTGATTGTACCAGTGATAGCTCACGGCTGGAAAGGTGTCAGGGGCCCTGGGGTGACTATCTACCCCCTTATGGTTCCCCTCCATCTGCAGCTCTGTTCCCCAGCCTGCACCTCAGCTCTCTGGCAGCTGGAGAATGTGGTAGTTGTTGAGATGACCACTTACATCTTCTGGGATTCTTCCAAGATGTGGGGACCATGCCTCCTGGCAGCCAGCCCTGGAACTGATCATGAAGAGTCTAGCACTCTCCTTCATGCTTGATGGTCCCTGCTGCCTAAGGGATAAGGGACAGAACCTATACTGGGCCCCATGATTCCTAGTGCAGCAGCAGCCTGGACCTCCCTTTTAGGTCCAGCCTAGGCACCGCTGAGCTAGGATAGAACCTATGGCCCATGGATGTGTTCTACTCTGAAGGAACCCTCCAGGTTCCCAGAGCTACAATACATGTCGGTTAGTCCCTGTCTCTCTTACTGAAGTTATCCTTCCATGTCAGATGTGCCACTCCCCTGAACCCATTTAGATACGTTTTTGGTATAACTGACAAGGTCTCTCTAGTTTGAAAAAGCCGGACACAAAGCAGAGCATCCTCCCATTGCTTTGACCACAAACGACTGGCCTGGTCACCCCTTCTCAGAGAAGAGCTGTGGTGTCCCTGTGAAGTTCCTCACAGTGATACTCCACTATGAGGCTCGTGACCCAGGTTCACTCCACCCCAAGCCAGGCTCCCCCTACAGTGCTTGGCTGTTACAACCATCACAAGCGCTTAGTTTCACAGACACTCTAGGCTTGCATAGAGTGCCAGTGTAATTCCTATCCTACAGATGAGGAAAAGGGGAAACTCTGCACAAGGCTGCCCACAGTGAGGACAGAGGAGGGCATGCTGGGCAGAGTCCTACCTGCAGCTGGCTTTCTTAGCCTTGCCTTTACAAGCCCCATCCTTACCTGTGCCAGACAGCAGCCTAGATCTCGGACCTGGATGTCTGGGTAAGCTCTGCCATACTAGCAGAAGACCTATAGCAGGGCCTTCTGCCTGCTTCAGCCTCCACTTCCTCATTGGAAACCCAAGAGTGTGGGTGCCTTTCTTCACATTCAACCCAGACTGTGAAAGAGTCGGACAGATGTGCTCCCCTGCTAATTGTTACACACCAGGATCTAGATCTCTCCAAATGAGAGCTAGCATTACTTACAGGCCTAGAAACCACTGACCCTAGACACACCCACCCTTCTGTGTTAGGGGAAAGCGACAATACAGAAGCAGGGGTTTGGGCTTACACCACTTGCTGCCTGGCTTTAAACTCTTCAGAACCTCAATTTTCTTGTCTGGAAAATGGGGCAGACAGCTCTTAGCTCATCATTAGATCTGTCAGGCATAAATTAAGGTAATGTTTGTAACTGCTGAGCAGTTTGCTGTGGGCTTTTTTCGAGCACTCCATAAATAGTGGCAATTATTACATTTACAGAGTTACAGAGGCTATCTGGACAGGTGGAGGGGATGTTCATCTAGCTTCAGCTGCCCTGCCAAACCTGAGGTGATTCCAAAGCATGGGAAAGGGTGGCCTCAAGAATGGGCCTGCAAGCTGTATCAGTCCATGATGATAGTGAGCCCTGTGAGGACCCAAATAGCCAGGAGGAAGATGGCATCTCTGTTCTCCTATGTCAGTGGCATAACTCACACTAGAGCCTGGGGGTCATCTCTTCCCAGTGGGGCGGGGACTCTGGAAAGCACAAGTTCTGAGGATGGTGGCCAAAATGTTCGCTTAGGGTTCCACAGGGACTCTTAGGAGATGGTCCTGGGTCACTGACCTCTTCCAGGTCATGGCCCAAGACCTATAGGTGAACAGAAAAGGAGCCCATAGTCCCACGGCACAGACTCCCATATACTACTAACCCACAGAGGGTTCCAAAGCAGGGTTGTATGCAGAGCTGATGAGCATGGCTTTTAGCATGGGGTTAGAGAAGTCTCCCTAGAGGAAGAGGCATCTGAATTCCAAGTTCTTGAAGGAGTTGGCCCGGCAGGGGACAGGGTGCTCTAGGCAAGTGCTAGTTACATTAAGGGGCCACTCAGTGTATTGAGTTTGTATCAGGGGTAGGAAAATGGTGGAGGATAGAGCTGGAGGGTTCCCAGGGGCCAGAAAAGGAGGTAACAAGAGAGGATGATGCTGAACTCCTGTTGACTTGGAGAGCTGATTGTGTGCCCAAGTCCAAAGCCTTACATAGGTGGTTCAAAACTGACCATGGTGGTAATATTTGCACCATGGGAATGGACAGAAGCTATGATTCAGAGGCTATATAAAAAAGAAAGAAAGAAAAAGAAATCAAGAGGGAAGAGTGGCAGTCTCCAGTGAATTTCAAATGAGGGCAAGGGATAATTAGCTTTGTTTCTTAACGGGATGTTCTGGTCTGGCTGCTGCAGTAGGAAAGACAGGGGAAGGAAAGGGCTTGGATGACCTATCAAGAGGGTGCAAGGCTGGGAGAGGACAGACTTCTACATGGTAACCTAACTCCTGCTGTGTGGGGGCTCAGCTTGGGGGTGGGGCACAGGATTAGGCCCTTTCTCAGCCTTCCTTGGCTAGAGCCTGAGAATCTGCAATAAAACTCATAATGAAAAACACCTGGGCTCTGCCCCCTAGCCAGGCCCTGGGATGCGGATGGGGAGGGGATTAGGGGATGAAGAGGGACCACGCACTCATTTCCATCCATGCACCCGCTCATGCATTAACTCTTGTTTCTCCTAGCTCTTTGCTCTTGGTCCTGGGTGGGAATGAGGAGTAAAGGAAAGATGATAAGGTACACAGCATAGAACATACAGGGGTCATTATGGGGGTAGCCGAGGTCGCCTGGGCCATGGTACCCTATGTCTATGTCGCCAGACTGTGTGAGTTTCTAGCCCAGGTCAGTGTCAGAGCCACTACTAGGGTAGGTCCTAGGCTTCTCCGGTCCCTTCACAGGGGTCTCTCTCTCTCTCTCTCTCTCTCTCTCTCTCTCTCTCTCTCTCTCTCTCTCTTTGTGTGTGTGTGTGTTTTCAGGGTAACTTGCACGAATTCAGAAGGGATGAAGGCTAACCCTCTCTTGCCCCTTCTACCCAGGACACATAGGGGAAGGAACCACCGAGATCCCAAAGAGGAGAACTGGCTGGTCTCAGAGCCCATTGAGGTTTGGTTTAGTCCAGTCCCGGTCTTCTGCTCAGGCCTGGCTTGCCGGTCTTTAGACTCTGGAGGGTGCTGCACTACCGACCCTCTGCTCTGTCCTTTGGAGGAATATGCAGCAGGGAAGGGTCCAGGTGGTCTCAGGGAGTATCTGCAGTGACCAGCCAGGTGGGGCACTTGGGAAGATGCTATTCTGGCAGTGGACACCTGAGTTTTTAAACTGAGTTTTGACTGGTGGTTATGCATCTTCTGAGCCCTTCTCCACACTCAAATTCTATCCAGGTACAAGTGACCCCCAGCAATAGTTAACAGGGTCTGAAGAAGCATGTGGGCTCTGTGAACATTGGAAACAGTGCCCCTTATGGAAATATGGGGCTTTGCAGGCACGTGATCTTCATTGCAACTAGGAAAGAAGCCATTTCTTCAAAGCAGCCAGATGCAGCCACCAATCACCCTGACAGACACACAGTAGCCCAAGTGTGTACACCAGGAGCCACCAGAGAGGGCTCCTTTTGTAGAAAGCAGTCCCTGCTCGTAGGCCCTCCTTGTCCTACCCCATCCCCCTATCCATGGACTACCCTCTTCTCCATTTCCAGTTAATAAACACCCCTTAAAAGTCTGTGCAGGACTTTGAGGGCAGGGCCGGGTGTGGTGAAAACTGAAATCCACAACTTCAAGGGTTTTGAGCAGCATAGCCCCCTGCTGTCAACACTGCCACCGGCAGCTTCTAGCAAGGCCAACCCTTGGAACCTTCTGGACACCATGTGGGGACGGAGGCCCAGGCATCTGGAGATGAAAGGCACAGGGCCAGCTGCAGCCCCAGCCACCACCAAGGAGGCAGCCTAGTCGGTCTTCCCAGGGTTTTCCTCCAGGGCCATGTGGTTCCAGCCCAAACCCTCCTGCCCCACAATAGACACATGGCTCCTGTGGCGTTCACAGATAGTCCTGAGAAGAGGAACTGGCCTTGATATCTGGGCTGTAAATGGACATGAATATTCATGGACATGGCCTAGTGGGTCTCTAGAACCCATCCATGTGAGAGTGTACAAATCTAAAGGCTGTACTGTGTGTGGCAGGAGCCTTCCCTGAGGCAGCAGAGATACCTCCTTTCATGTTTGTGGTTACTAGCGAAGCCACCCTTCCCTTTGCACCCATGACTGACTCATCAGCAGTTGGCTTCCGAGAGACGAGGAACAGCAAGCTGTGACTGGAAGCTGTTGGGAGCTTCCTTGCTCTGGCACTGGCTAAAACTAGGTCCTAGGCTTACTGTAGAAGCTGGATGGCTGCTGGCAAGCTCATGTAAGCTGAGCCCCAGGCACAGACTCAGAGGGATCCCACCTGGACTGGCTCCCTGAGTCTGTAGGCAATGACAGTTAAAGCAGGCTTGAAGGGCTTCAGGGGCAAAGCTGAGTCCCTACCAAACATCAACTGGATGCTTCAGCTCCAAGCTTCCCACTGGGATATCATCCCTGCATTTAGAGATGCCATCATCCTTCTAGGAAGACCTGGCAGACCTCAGGGCCTGGCCACTGTTAGCTGGACTCAGCAGCATCATGGCAGGCAGGTGGTCTGGCAGTGGGGTGGGGTGCTGGTCTGGAGAGATGGGCAAGATGCCGCCTCTCCCCTGGAAAAGACTGCAAAGCTGAAGACATCATATACAAAGTTTGGGCAGCTGATGGGAGAAGGAAGCGTTCCTGTAGGAGCCTCTCTGGATTGAGCCGTAAGTGCTGACTCTACATCAGCCATAGTATTGCTACAACAGCCAACCCTGGAGCACACACCATGGACCCAGTAAATTAGGGTCCAAATTGGGAAACGCATGCTGACCTCCAGTTCCCAGCTAGCTCACCCCATCCCACAGGCTACTTCCTGTGAGGGTTACTCACTCTGCTGAGGCTTCCAGATGAGATGCCCAGCTAGTTTGACCCCTCCCACCATTCCTCTTCACTTTGGAGAGACAACTAGGTTACTCTTCTGGATGTTTCCTCTGTCCTGTATAGGTGAGGCTCTCCTCTCATCTAATGATCACAACACCGAGTGCCAGTCTCCTGCTGAACCCCTAGAGAGACAATGTTGTGGCTTCTCCCATCTCTCTTCCTCGTCTCTCCTGCAGTGACTGCCCTCTGCTTTCTCTGTTACTTTCTGATCCCTGCCCCTTGTTGCCAAGCCCATCAACCCTGGGAGGTGTCCAAGAGGAGGTAGCCACCGAGCTGGATCCTGGAGTACTAGGAGGACCTGTCTGAAACTCCAGAAACTTCTGAGGAGAGGAGAACTCAAAGCTGCTCGTCCTTCCCCACCCTGGCCCCTCTTCTATGACATTCATAGCTTCAGATTCTCTTCCGGCCTGTGCTGTTAAACAGTTTCCCCAGAAATTGAAGCATCTTTTCCTCTAGGGAAGTTCCTTGAACAGGAAGGTAAACAACTCCGAAACCTACCAGATCCAGTAGGCCCTGCCCTCCAGAGTAAACTTTATTGACCACTTTGTAGCTGAAGAGTCCCTCTCAGAAGAGCAGGGCCAAGCTTCAAGTGATACTATCAGATGGCCAGCTGCCTGTAAGAGGTTTAGACCAACCGAGGCACCTGGAAAAGACACTCTCCAAGTTGTTGAGCCGCCTGCAGGCTGTGCAGTGTGCTCCAGGTTCCTAGATTTGTGAGCTGTCACCCATGCTGGGATGGGCCTTGGTGATGCAGCTGTCTTTGAGTCATTTCTGCTACTGTAAGTAACCCCTCACCCATATTCCTGTAAGTGACCCCAAGAAAACTCATGGTTCATCACTGGGAGTCAGTGAGGTTGACAGTAGTGGGAGGAAGTAAAACTACACTGAGGAGTTCTTTCTATGTGACACAAAGGGTTTTGTCTGCCTGATTAGTCCCTAGGTCAAGGTAGCTGCCTGGTGACTCACCATTAGAAGCAAATGGTTCTTCCCCAGGGAGAAGCAAATATACACAGAGAGAAGTTGGCAGAATCCCTTCATAGCTTTATCACTCCTAAAACAGGAGTATAATATCTGGCTTACACACCTACCTTGGGGGAATATCTGTTGCTGGAAGCCCCCTCCTTGGGTTGTCCCTAGAGGCTAGGGTAACAGTAACATGACCAATCTTCTCTGTGCTGGGTTGTCACAGGACTGCTGGGAACTGCCCTGAGTGACCAGTGCCTACAGCTGGGGCTTTTACCACATGTTCTTAATAGCAGGACTGCTGGATGGCTCCAACCTGTGGCGGTTCCACCAAAACGCCCCTCCCCCACCCTACCAGTGAGACTGATGACTTCCTGGAAATAGGTTCAATGAAGGGTTTGTGACATGGAACATTTGATGTGACCCGAGAACTTCCTGTTCAGATGACCCCTTGACCTCCTTCCTGAAAGTGTCCCGGGCATGGCTCAGATGACCCTTAAGTCAGATCTGTCTTAGTAGAGTTACCCACACAGGGCTGGTCCACACTGGGCCCTGGGATACAGTACTCCAGTTTTCCTGGCCTCTTTGAACTGCTGCTGTGTGTTGAAGCTGCCTGGTGACCTGAGGGCTGTTACTGGGGAATCCCAACAGGAAGCAATTGTCCCAGAGAAGGCTTCTGCACCCATGCTCCCTCAGGGCAGTAGGAAAACAGAAGGTCCAATGGGATTCTCACCTGAACTGCTTCAGCCTGCTGGACAGTGTTGGTCTGGGGTCCCAGAAGGTTCCTGGGACCTTTACCCATCATTGTCCTTTCTTTGTTTTTTGGTTTTTCGAGACAGGGTTTCTCTGTGTAGCTTTGGAGCCTATCCTGGCACACACTCTGGAGACCAGGCTGGCCTCGAACTCACAGAGATCCACCTGCCTCTGCCTCCTAAGTGCTGGGATTAAAGGCGTGTGCCACCAACACCCAGCTCCATCATTGTGCTTTATAAACAATGCTATAGTATGTCGGCGTGTGCTCAGTCAGGCTCCCATACTTGCCCCCACAGCCATGTTCTCAGTCAATACTATGCTGTCTACTGGGTTGTCCATACCTTGTGTGAAAAAGAGTCCACAAGGACTTCGCAACTTCAATTCAGTACTTCCCTGGCTGTTCTGGTATAATCTGAGCCCTATGAGTGCTGTTTGTAGAGCTCATTGCCCCATGCTTGTGTTAATGGGGAGTTTTATATGGGAAGACCCTGAACGTATACCCTGCCTGGAGTCATGAGAAGACCCTACACGTATATCCTGCCTAGAGTCTTGTGGGAAAGGCTGTAGCAGAAATACTCTGTTTTCTTGTACAGCATCATTAAGTCCCATCCTGCAGATGAAAAGGATCTGGGTCACAGTACTTGCCAACTAACACACCCCATGCTCAGCACTGAGAGGTGTATAGAGGAAAAGCCTTGATCTGAGACCAGATCCAGGATGCTCTCTAGGATAAAAGGCCTTCATGGGATTTTTTAAGAATTTATTTATTCTTGTTTTATATGTTTGAGAGTTTGGTCTGCATGTATGTCTGTGTACTATGTGCATGCCTGGTGCCTATGGAAGCTGGCAGAGGGCATTGGATCTCCTGGAAGAAGAATTATTAACAGTTGTCAGCTGCCACGGAGACACTGAGAGCTGATCCCGGGTCCTTTACAAGAGCAGCAAGTCCAAGTGGTTTTTATAATCACTGAGCCATCTCTCCACATTCCTTTCTGAGCTTTTCAAGGCCCTGGTATCACCTGTGGCCTTGACAGGTCAAGGGACTTCCTCTTGGCTTCACTCTTCTATGTTGCCCTTCTGGGGATGAAGTTCACTCTGGTCCTGTTAAAGGTATTCTCACTGGACATGGCTAACCAGTGGGTCAGACTGGATCCTCTGGAGCATTCGCCTTTTGCCTGTGAAGCAAAAGGCTGAATCAGGCCTTGACCAGAAAGTTGTGAGTGCCAACCCCATAGACTGGGTCTAGATGGGGTGGGGTGAGGGCTGAAGGCCAGTCAACATCTCAAGAGATGTGGTAATCCTCTTGGGCCAAGGGAGAGACACACTGTTCAAATCACCGTCCCTTTAAAGGCAGAGAATGTGAGATAAGGCACCAAGGCCACACCTGGCTTAGTACCTCTGGGCACAACAGCATGGTGCTCTAGGGGAGAGAAAGAGAAGAGGGCCTTGTAAGTCAGTCCCAGGAGAGGGTAATGCATGACTGTGGTCAGAGCAACGAAGGAGCTGCGTGGAGTGTGTTTGATTTCCTGGGAGAAGGCAAAGTGAATAATGACTCAGTTGAGAAATAGCCAGTTGAGTGTTTGTTTTTGGAAGGACAGTGTCATCGGAAGGCAGTGCAATTATGAGGCCTATAAAGAAAGATCTGGAAAGGCCTCAAGGATTTAACCCACCAGCCCTGACGTGTTCTTGTCTCAGCACTAGGGCCCACCCTGTGGGAAAGCCTGGGTCTGACCCAGGGCCTCTTACAAGCATTTTAGAATGGGTCCCTAACAGGAAGACTTAAATAAAACGCCAAAATGGAAGAGCTTTGCTGATTGCTGGGAATCTCCTATCCATGTTTATAGGCTGGCTACTCTGGCCTTACTTAGCTCATAGCCCCTCTGGAATTAGAATTCTCCTAACTCCACCTCTCCTGGAGGTCCCAGCATGTCTTGTCACTCCCATCCAAGCTCATGCATCTAAGAGCTATCTTCTTGCATCTGAAAAGAAAAGAATCATGGACCCCTCTTCTTGTATTGCTTTTCCTGGAAAGATGTGAACATCTGCTCACCCTATATAGGGCTCTAATGGTAGACCAAAGAAATGATTCTAGCACAGTGAACAATTGAGTTTAACAGGCTAACTTACAGGACTGTGGGTGAGGTGTTATAGTCGTGCGGGTGACCCCCAAACAGCTGTGTCACCAAAAAGTACCATCCTCCAATAAGGGTGATGACTTCAGAATTCATCAGTGGAGTCCCTACCTCTTCTCAACTTTCTCCTTCCTACACAGTCTGGCATCCTCTTAAAATGATGTATAATTGGGGCGATATATGTAGCTTGGGGTAGAGCAGGAGGCTGTGAGTGGCAGGAGTCTCAGGGGAGGGTCCAGTGATCCTCTGCCCTTCTTTAGGCTTAATGGGACCAATCTATGTCATGCTCAGAGGATAGAGTTCCAATGGCTCTCAGTATGATGTCTCACCTGGGAGAACAAGTAGGGTCATGGACATCTTCCCACCTGGGTGACATGCAGCTCTCCTCTCTGCTTGGTCCCTCCCCATACTACTCTTCTGTCTGATAGAGTAGCATGAGTAGCATCGTTTCTAAGAATTTCTGGTTGAGTCTGTGGGATCTTTTACATATGGGGTTATGCAAATATATGCATGCAAACAGGGATGCCTTGACTTCTTGCTTTCCTGTTTGTATCTATTTTGTATGCTTTTCTTGTCTTGTTGCTCTAGTTAAGACTCTGTGCACTATGTTGAATGTGAATGAAGCAGCAGACCCCCTTTTGTGGTTCCTGATCTTAGGGAAAATGTTTTGGGATTTTCCATATGTAGTACATTGATGGCTATAGGTCTGTCACATACTGCCTTTTGCATGCTGAGGTATATTCCTTCCATTCTCTCAAGTGTTCATCACAAAGGGGTATTGGATCTTGTCAAAAGCCCTCTCTGCATCCATTGAGCTGGTCATACGTTTTTCTGTCCTTGGGGACAGACTCCCATCACACTTCCAGCCCAGACAGAGTTGGTTAGGAACTCCACCCCCCCCCCCCACTTACCTTTTTTTGTGCCTGTGGTAGTCT